ATCCTGTGATCTTTGCAACGACCATCATAAGACACAGTTCCACAACGCATATGTCACGAAGCGGCAAGCCAACATCAACAAGTGGAACCTGACCGTTAGGAAGGTCCATGAGATCAATGGTATCAGTGTGGAGCAGCTCTCAGTTTCGCTCGCTATCTTCTCTTTCCCTGCATTTTCCTTCTCTGCGACCTTCCATGCTGACGATCCGCTGTCTCTCCCACCCCACAGCTGCCTCACTGAAAGAAACTGCTATGCTGCGAGAGATCCTCAAAGATCCTGCTATTGTACTCACCTCCACAGGGGGGTCGTGGGAAGACTGGGTCTGTGTTGTTGCGGCCTACGAGAAAGCTCAGGGTACCAGCTTCGAGCAGGCGTCTTCCCACGCTGCCTCCCTTTGCCACAAGACCAATCTGGTCAAGCCAGGTGCGGCCACACGTGTCAGCAAGGGTGAAATTAGTCTTCCCGCTTTCCGCAAGGAGTTCGCCAAGGGCCTTGCACAGGGGTAGTCTCATGGGGAGCAAGGATGCTGAGAGTGAATAAGGAGCTGTCCTGGAGGGCGGTCCAGCATTGAGGGTGTGGCGTCGGTAGCAGTGCTGATTGTGATGTGGAGTTAGCCGTAGCCTTGTGTGGTCTTTCCGGTGTATCTTGTGTTCTTACAGCCTGTGGATGCGAAGGGGCTTCCTCGTGGTTGATCAACGGACTCCATCACGTTCTGCGAGTTCAACATCAACGGACTCGGCAGTGAAGGGAAGAGAGTTAAATGCAGATACTGGCTATGGAACAAAGCAGACATCGCGGTAATCATAGACACAAGGATCAGTGCAGACCATAACTTTTGGACACAACTTAGGCCAACGGCAAAAGTAACAGTCGGGCCCGCAGAAACGGCCGTTAGTGTGGCGGTCCTGAGCTTTATACCTGGGATGGATTTCACGGAAACTTACATACACCTGTCAGGAAGGTTACTCGGTGTCATGGTGAAGTGGGGTGATGTTGAGCTGCTCCTGGTGGCGATGTATCTCCCGGCGCAGCCGTGTAGCAGAGGCCCATTTTACAGAGACTGCCTGGAGCCCTTCATCAGCTCCTTACCTGCTTCGCAAAACGTGCTGGTGGTGGGAGATTTTAACGTGGTAGAGGACCCTGAAATGGACAAAACGACTAAGGCGGGCTCGGCCGCGGAGAACCAGGGGTTGCTGAGCTGCTGGCCGCGCACGCCCCTGAGAGACGCGTTCCATTTCATGTACCCGAATAGGCGAGAATACACGATTTACTCCAAGGCGAAGAAGATGAGCACCAGGATTGACCGTGCGCATATATATCGCAGCCGTTGCAGAGCAAGCTGATGGACGTCTGGCATGGAGAGATAACCAACATGATGACGGACCACTGGTACGCGGTGAAGGTGTCACTAGAGTCATCCACGGCGGTTGCGAGGGGCCCGGGGATCTGGAGGTTACGAGGGAATCAGGCGAAGAAGAAAGGGGTCAGAAAAATCATCAAGCAAGTGCTCGACGACGCTGCAGGCGATCTAAATGTGGCGCTACCGCGCTTGACGGCATGTCTGAGAGCTTATGAGAGACGGGAGAAGACGCGGATAGAAGCGACCAGGGTGCGCCTATCCAAAGAGGTCGGGATCTTCCGGTATCGGCTGATGGCGAGCCCGAACTGCCAGCGCACAGCTTCTATTCTGCTGAAGAAGGAAGAGCTCCTCCTGGCATACGACAATAGCCACAAAGAGAAGCTGCAGACGTGGGCAGGGGTCACGGTGGAACTGAACGGTGAAGCGGCGACTGGCTTCTTGTCTGCGAAGATTAAGATGCAGAAAGCGAAAACAGAAATGGAGGAGGTTACTTTCAAAGGTGTCAGCTACACAGGGCCGAGAGAGGTGCTGGCAGCAGCGACTGGTTTCTTCAGGAATGCCTTTGGTGCTGCCGCTCCAGAGGGGTCAGAGGAGGGCAGGCCCAGGTCACTGGGACGGACATTGGGGGCAAGCAGTAAGACGGCGCTCAGTGCACCATGGACGGAGGTTGAAGTGCGCAAGGTGGTGAAGGAGCTTTCATCGTGGAAATCGTCGGGGCAGGATGGCCTCCCCAAATAACCTTTCGAACTAATTGGGACTTGCTCGAGCCGGCGCTGATGGGCTTCGTCGGAGATTTTGCACGCACCGGAAAGCTGCCGTGGAGTGTCAGCACAGCAGTCACAATCCTCCTGCATAAGAAGGGGTGCAAGGAAGAGTTGGGCAACTATAGACCGATAACCCTGCTGAGCACGATCTACAAGGTGGTTGCAAAGGTGGTGGCGAGCAGACTTAAAAAGGTGTTACATTAAGTAATTTCGAAGGATCAGGTCGGATTCATACCTGGCAGGATATTGGCGGATGCAGTGACGGTGGTAGCGGATGCCATCGAGGCAACGTCAAGCAGAAAGGAAGATTGGATGTTGTTCATGGTGGATTTCCAAAAAGCGTTTGACTCAATCTCGATGAGCTTTCTCTTCCGCATGACGAGAGGCATGGGGATCCCTGAGGCCTTCATGACCTGGACGGAGGGCTTGCACAGCGAAGTAGGAACGAAGATTCATGTTAATGGTTGGACGGGTGAGGCGGTAGCGGTGAACAAGGGGGTACGGCAAGGGTGTCCGCTGGCACCATACCTCTTCTTGTGCGCTGTTGAGCCGCTATGTCAAGAGATTGCGAAAAGGGACCTGAGGATCGGGAAGCCAGGGCTGGGGAAGCTGGCATACCTCAGGTACGCCGACGACACCTCCCTCTTACTGCAGGGGGCAGAGCAGCTAGCTGCAGCAGCAGAGGTGCTTGAGAAGTTCGGAGAGGAGTTCGGGCTGAAGGTCAACCAGGGCAAAACGGTTGTCTTTCTGCTGGGGAGCAACAGGGGTTGTCAACCACCGCCGGGTCTTCAATATAAGTGGGTGGACAAAGAAGAGCCAGAGCGATTGCTAGGGGTGTGGATCACGCCGAATGGTGACCCGCTGCCATCCTGGGAAAAGGCATTGGACAGGGCGAGAGTGGATTTAGCAAGGTGGGAAGTGCAGCACCTAACAACCACGGCAAGGGTAACCATAATCAACAGGTACATCCCGCCAATTTTCCTGTTTCAAGTGCAGATCTATCCGCCGCCAGAGGAAATTTGGGTGAAGGTCAAGAGGATATGCTACAGCTTCATCTCCGGCGGTCAGATGTCGGAAGGCAAAATCTTCACCCTGTGGAACTACGAGCTGATGTGCACGCTGCCGAAAGATCCGTTCCAAAAGATTTTCGACAGCATAGCGGCGCAGAATATTGGAAGGCTGGTGCTGCAGCCGGATTCAATCAAGAAGTGGTTGGCGATGGCAGCAGCAGCTCTGCCGCTGGGCCTGGACACGCTTTTCGCGCACAAATCCCTGCTCAGACACTGGGAGAAGGGAAGCAGGAGGTGGAAGGAGATGTTTCAGGCTTTCTGTACACCGGAAGGGCACCCGTGGCCCCCTCGTATTGGAAGGTGTGCGGAACGACAGACTCAAGGGTCACAGGGAGATTATGCCAAGTTGACGACACAGGAACGTACATGCGACGGAGTCAACCTAACGGTTAACTTCGACCCCCAGAGCAGCCTGATAGTACCGGTGGCGGCGCAGGGTGAAAAGATGCTCGGGTCGATAGGGGAAGCACGTACGAGGCTACTACAAACACGGTTGTGCAAGGACGGTACGGTTGCACCGCTGAGAGAGGTCAGGAGGGCTCTCCAGAACTCGGCTGACACGGCAAAAGGGCAGAGAAGATGGGAAGGGCAAAGAGCAGTGATCGAGTGGGAGGGGGTCATCAGGCAGAGGGATTCCCTCGCCACACCTGCCCGGGCACGAGACGTTTTGCTGAGGCTACACTACAGGAATCTACAAGTGGGTGTGAGGCTGCAGTTCCTGCGTAACAAAGTGGTTTGCCTATACTGCAAACGAGAGGAAACGCCGGAACCCTGCCTGTTTGGCTGCCCGGCAATACAAAAGGTGGTGGCCTTCCTGAAGCAGGGGCCGATGGCGATGAATCCGGAGAAACGCTGGCAGGACCTGGAGGGTTTGCTTTTCATGCAAAGGAGCACGATGTCGGGGTTTCCATAAAGTTCTTTCATCGCCACCACACTGCACCAAGTCTGGCTGGCGAGGTGTGATGCGAACTTGCACAATATCTGGTTCCAGACAAAACGGGTGCTGCGGCGGGTGGTGGTGAATTTTGTCGCGCACGCACGGGTGTATTGCTTGGCACGGGAAATTGCAGCCAGGAAGCGAGGTGTACCGACGAACAGGGACACATGGGCGCATCTGGAGGCAGACGAGGCAGGGATCATGAGGAGAATATGCAGCAAGCCTGCACCGCTGACGTGGAGGATAAGCTTCAGCTCCCTCTGGGACAATCCGAGGCTGACGCATCAGCCACCATAGGTTGGGCAAGGGGACCTGTGGTAACTGTTACCATGGCCTTCCCCTATCTACACAGTTACGACTGACGGTGTTTTTTAATGCATTCATGTAATGTCCTAAAGCATTAAAAAAAAAAAAAAAAAAAAAAAAAAAAAAAAAAAAAAAACCCGGCACTTTCACACCCCGTCACTTCAGTTCCCCACATGGTTTGCAGCCACTATCCTGACTCTTTAGCGCGTACGAGGCTGGGCAAATGCCACGATTTCTCCTAGCGTGCCTGCGTTGACTAGTATCGGCGTTGCTCTTCGCACGGAGTTTTCTCGATGGACTCGCTGCTTCGCGCCTTGCTTCGTCCGTACATTTTCTATCATATCTTTCTCCTGTTTCTCGGCACAACTCTCATTCTCACCCGCGCTCCGCGTACTCCTGATGGCCGCAATCTCATCGAGTTTACCAGACGGCAAATCTTGTTAAACGGTTCATCTTATAACGAGGATGCCGCCGCGTCAAGGGTCGCCAGTGCGACAGCCGACGACATCGTTCTCGACGCGGTAGGCGATGCGACGGGCGAGGCGAACCCTCGCGTCGTCCACATGGCGTTCAATCTGCTCTTGGCGGAGGTGGAGCAGCAGCGCAACGACCGCGCGTGGGAGCGGCGGTACGTGCGCCCGCACGGCGCGCGGAAGCTGTTTCGCGTGCACTCCGACGATCCGCGGAAGCACCACCTGCACGGGGAAGGCGTGGGCGTGGGGGACGAGGAGGCGGACGACGGGACGCTGGAGGGGAGCGAGCTGGCGGAGTTTGAGGAGGAGCGCGCGCGGTACAGGGACGAGGAGGATGACGAGATGTGGGGTGAGTTGGAAGGGCATCGCAAATTTGTTCGGCGGAAATAATAGGTAAACACAATGTCTACACATTGTGATTACGTAGAGCGCACATTGTACTGTCGGACTGTGTAAGTATAGGTTCTGCGACAAACAAGCTACTCTAAACCTGGCAATAGAGTATGTGCAATGTACATACTCAGAATCTTACTAAGATCGCATTCCTGGCTTGGACACCATCCGAAGTTCGCCCACCTGAAGGGTTTTTGGCGTGAGGATGGTGTCCGTGTGGGGCAGGGCCCCACCTCGGACATTGGCATGCGACCGCTGTCGTGCGTGTCGCCCACTGTAATCGAAATGCTGTTTGGGTTCACGACCAATCAGGAAACGACGCTACATTTGTTCTAGCGTCAACTGCGCACAGTCAGAACTGACTGTCGGGCACAGCAAAATAAATAAGGTAATCAATCTTGGGATGTTTGTTCAGGATATATACGGTGAATTATCAATTTACTTGGATTGGGCAGCAAAATGAGGAAACGTGCCTGTAGCCCAACACTACAGAGACAAAGGTGATGATGTGTAACGAAATCACTGGTTTGTTAAAAAATCGCACAGTTTAGTATTTGACGTGCACGTTGGTCGCACGTTCGGTGGCCGACTAAAACCAAAGTGTCCAGACTTCGGACCGCGTGGGGCAACATTCAAAATTACATCTCGAAATTACAGAACGCGTGCCCAAACTTCGGATGGTGTCCAGGCCAGGAATGCGATCTAAGAATGTATATTGTACATAGTCTGCATACAGAAAACAGATACTCCCAACAACCAAATACAGTCAGTACGAGGTTCACACTATGACACCAGTCCCTTTAAAACGTGGTGTATGTAAATAGTCCTTAAGCGAACGTAATATCCTGAAGGTGGTTCCAGAAGCTAGGAGAGAAAGAACGGTCTCTGAGATCCTCTTCACCACACAACCTGCTCATTCCTTCTTATCCCCCTTCCCTTCCCTTCCCGCCGCCCTCCTTGCCCCCCCCCCCCCCCCCCCTCTTCCCCACCCCCCCTCCCCCCCTCCCTCCTTTTTCCCTGCAAACGACCTGAGGCATGGCCACTTGAACCTCTACTGCTTTCAAAAAACTTCCCCCCTCTTCCCTGTCTCCCCTTTCCCCCCTTCCCTCCCCCTGCAGACGACTTGAGGCACGACGACTTGAACCTCTCCTCTCCTACCGCCTCGCCCTCCTCTTCCCTCTCCTCGACTCCTCGCCTCCTGACTGCCGTGTCAGCCAATCAAAGCTCACCACATGGCTGCTGGCAGTGGAGAGGGCGGCAAGCCTGCACCGCACGCGGCGGGAGAGGGAGGTGGTGGACGGCGATGCGGACAGCAGGTTCACTCTGGACGAGGCGCTAGGAGACAAACTTGTCGGCCAGGCAGGTAGCTCGTTGACTCGGTTGACTGTGTTTGCTTGTATTGCTGACTGTGTTTACCTTGTTGACTTTGCTCACATTGGTTGGGTGAATCAAGTTCTTGGGCGCATCGTCGCATGTATGCTTGTCGAGCAGCGTACACAACTCCCCGTAGAAAGCCCTGCACGTATGCAGAGTGGGTGGGAGTCTGGGATGTGTAGTTGCAGAGTCATGCTTCCCCCAGCAAAGTCACTCACCCTCGACCCAAGAGTGCCGTGCACTTGCACAGTTTCTCCTCCTCATTCTCACCTCCCATTTCCACTCGCCCCCTTGCCCGCGCGCACCAATGCACCACAAGGTGACCTTCGATTCGATTCAGAATTCACATCGCTATTCCGTCTCATACCACCTCCCATTTTCATTCACGCCATTACCTGCCCCCACAAGTGCACCACGGCGAGGGGGGTGGCAGCATGTGGGGGGCGAGGAGCAGAGGAGGGAGCTTGAGGAGTGATTCCGACTGGCGGATGCTGATGGGGATAAGCAGTTGAACCTCAGTGCGCTTAATAGGTGATTTGCTGTGACTACATTGGGGATTTGGATGGATGGACTAAGAACCTTTTGTTGTGTCACAATGGATGACATGATGAAACCTGTGCAAAAATCATGTTACCCGCTCCCTCTCGCCTCACACTTTACCCCCCTTTTTCTTTTCCCTCCCTCTGCACTCCCCTCCACCCGCCCCTCCCGCCCCCCCATTCTCTTCCATCCTCCCTCCATTCCAGCTACTTGCATCCGGTGGACAGCGATGATCCCAGCCTGCGTAACCTGACACAGCAGTAGGAGTTCAGGTGAGATTCTTGAGAAAATCAGATATGGCGTGTGTGAGAGTTTGTGTAGTTATTCGCGTCTGAGGTTCAATTTAGATTGAAGGAATGAGAGCCCAGCACGGTGCATGCACAACAAGGGGACCAGCTGAGGGCGTCACAAACACAAACAATTTGCTACTTTGCCATGCATATTCGCAATCCCTTTTTCTTATTGTTCCAATTCCCCTCTTCCGCCCCCTCCCCACCTCCCATCCCCCCTCTCCGCTTACTCTTCAACTTGAATCTATCTTCACACTTTTTCTGGCCTACCATTATCCCTCCCATCTTCCCCCTCACACGCACCCCCTCTGAAACCTTGCAGGGATCGCGACGGTGACAACCGTATATCATCCGTGAGTTCGAGCAGACCGTGCTCCACGAGCTCATGGCACATGAGGGCGACAGTCACGACCCTGTGGAGGCGCTTGTCCACTTGCACGCCGCCCAGGCAGTTAAGGACAAATGGAGCAACGACCACCGCCGCCCGCACCGCAAGGGCGGCGAGTTCCGGGAGGCTCTGGAGGAGAAGGAGAGGCAGGCGAGAGGCAGGTTCGAGGAGCTTGATAAAGATGGGGACGGGTGAGTGGGTGAGACATTCATATTTATTCATCTTGATTCATGTTAATTCAATCTTATTTTCATCTTTAGGTTACTCAATATATTTCGATTCTCAACTTTGAGTGGCCATTTCTGCCCGCTCTTGTTCTGTCCTCCTCTCCATCCCTCCAATTCCGGTTAGTGTTGGCTTCGCATTCCAATTTGTCTTTCTTGGGAGCTTCCTCTCACCTGGAGAGCTTGAGTCGGTGCTGCGGGGTTGTTGCCAAGGGAAAAAATACTTTGCTGAAAGGAAGGCGGCGGATATGATTCGGCAGGTGAGGTGCAGGTGATGCTGATGGCTTCAAATCACAGGGAAGGACAATGTGGGCTGTTGACAGATTTGTTTTGATGCCTCATGGCTGTTCATTCCCACCAGATCCTCAACTCAGCTCTACCCTCCGCTCCTTTTTTTCCTCTTCTTTTTTATTCAATTCAGGCGGACAACAATGGTGACGGGTATTTGCAAATAGATGAGATGCAAGAAACACTCCCATTTATTTTACAACAGCGTTCATGCACGTTAGCAACAAGGCGAACAAGTGGAGCATGAGGAGCTGTAGCTGCAAAACAGTTGAGGAACACTTGTGGATTGATGGGTTAGCTAATTCTTGTGATACTACCGTGTGTAGCAGGCCCTTCGATATCTGTTATTTTTCCCTGAAATTCCTGATTTTCAGGGATTTTTTTGTACCTACCCTGATTTTCCAGTGTTCAGCTTTTTGGGGGACTGATTTTTCAGCCTTTAGGGGCCAGATGACTCTGAACTTTCAGGTTTTTTTTTGAAGGGACACTGATTACACTACGTTGTAACGAAACTGACGCTACATGCGGTTCCTACATGTTCCGAGTGTAGTTGCCCGGAAGTACAGGGAATCTCAGATTCCCACGGTGTCAGCACCGCCTGGCGGTGACTACCAAACAAATTTGCCCCGTGTTATTCACTTTGAGGGCTGCTTTGTTGGCGCACTTGGTCCGATCATTGGCCACTTTTGCAGCATTATGTGGGTTGACCAATTACAAGGTTGCAACAGAGCGATGCTGGCAGGCTGCGTAACTAGTTAGTGTTGTCTTATTTAAACGCGATGCTGGCAGGCTGCGTAACTAGTTAGTGTTGTCTTATTTAAACTTCAATATCAACCTTTACAAAAAAATGGAAATTTTTGAAAGTGTGGAACACTTTCTGAAAATATGTATTTTGAAAGCGCAGCTGACTGTATCGAAGCAAGGCAACTGCGAATGCCTATTCCAGAGTACATAATGAGGGCTGGAGGCCATTTGGCCTCCACCCACGTCTTCATTTTCGGAACTTTACAGTTCCGCTTCATTCTCGTCCAACCACTCGCAATGTTCCCGTCCTTACCAATCTCATAAACAACCACCTAGACATATTTTCAAGTAGCTAGGGTGTTTAAGCTGAAGGGCCACATGATAGCGCCCGTGATTGTACTTGGCGTACGCTCAACTGAGACTGAAGTGCGTCGGACGAAATGGCCACTGGCGCGCCAGAGATAAATCGCCACTTGCGCCAGTAGCACGCGCCAGAGACGAAATCGCCAGTGGCGCACGGCAGGGACGAAATAGCCACTGGCGCGCGCCAGTGACGAAATCGCCACTTGCGCCAGTGGCGCGCGTCAGTGACGAAATCGCCACACGCGCGCCTGTGGCGAAATCGCCACTTGCGCCAGTGGCGACATTACCACTAGCGCGTCAGGGACGAAAGGGACACAGGCGCGGCAGTGACGAAACTGCCACTCTAGCGCCTGTGCCATTGACTGCAGCGTCACTCACCTGCGTACCTTGTCTCCTCACCTATACATTGCGTTGCTATGCATATGCTGCAATTCTTCTTCAAATTTCTCCTCATTATTTTTTCTTTATTTTTCTGTTGTTTCTTTCATCTCTGACTTATTCCGATATGATTTAAATTCCTTGGTGGCAGAAAAACAGGCGCGTGATGTCGATGGTGAAGGGACGCGCACCAAACTCCACCACTCGTGCGGGAAATCGCAACAATTACCGGACCTACTCCACGCGCACCCAACGACTTTCCTCGATGAACTCGAGGACCGCGAGTCGCAACGTTGCCCGAAGAGTCGTCCCCAGGGGGGGGAGGGGACCGCGAGTCGCAACGTTGCCCTGAGAGCCGTCCCAAGGGGGGGGGGGGGCCGAGGGTCCCCATGCTGGCCTGAGAGCCGTCCCCCAGGGGGGGAGGGGACCGAGGGTCCCCATGCTGGCCTGAGAGCCGTCCCCCAGGGGGGGAGGGGACCGAGGGTCCCCATGCTGGCCTGAGAGCCGTCCCCCAGGGGGGGAGGGGACTGAGGGTCCCCATGCTGGCCTGAGAGCCGTCCCCTAGGGGGGGAGGGGACCGAGGTCAGTGTCTTTCGATGTCGGCCTGAAAAAATCTTTCCAGAGGGGGAAGGAAGGGTATGAAGATACGCTTGCCAGAGCGTCACTGCCTTAGGGAGGGGAAGAAAACGGACAAAAGCGGAGATTGGGAAAACCACACTTACCGGTATTGTGCATGTGGAAATGTTGTATCCTTGGCTATTATGTTTAAAGACATGAATGATTTCAAAAAAAAAAAAAAAAAAAAAAAAAAAAAAACATGAGCAGTCCTTGTTGTAGTTGGATGTTGGAGCCACAACACACCACAAGCTATGATTTGACTTACCGGGGTAAGGTTGGTAGTGTGCAACTACCAGTGGCAAGGATAGATATTGGATCTCAGTTCTCGAACGAGGGCTGTATGGAGAGAAAAATGTCTCTTAACCATCACCGCATTCACTTTTACCGCACCTCCGTGTCGTCGCGCTTGACAAAATAAGGGAAATATAATCATGTACGGTACCAAACGGCAATGCAATTTGCACTTCATTACCCGAGTACGGTAATTGTTCGCACTTCGACAATTTACAGGCAATGTGTTCAGAGGAGTACGGGACTAACATGGGTGGCAGGCAGCGCACTTGTTGTCGTTTTCCTGTCTCGCCATCATACCGTAATACCACATACGGATGAGCAACCGAGAGACCAAGAGACGAGCAACCGAGGGGCCAAGAGATGACCAACCGAGGGGCCAAAAGATGAGCAACCAAGGGGCCAAGAGATGACCAGTGGATGGGCCACAAGATTCTAACAGAACCGATGGGCCAAGCCAAGAGATGAGATAGCGATGGGCCAAGAGATGAGCAACTGATGGGCCAAGAGATGAGCAATTGACGGGCCAAGCCAAGAGATGAGATATCGATCGGCCAAGAGATGCAACTGATGGGCCAAGAGATGAGCACCCGATGGGCCAAGCCAAGAGATGAGATATCGATGGGCCAAGAGATGAGCAACTGATGGGCCAAGAGATGAGCAACCGATGGGCCAAGCCAAGAGATGAGATATCGATGGGCCAAGAGATGAGCAACTGATGGGCCAAAGAGATGAGCAACCGAGGGGCCAAGAAATGACCAACGTGTCAAAGTATATGCATGTTATATATGTGTAGGCTGTAGTGGGGTAGCCAATATGGGGTACAGCCCCTTTTAGGGTTTCATACTTGTACCCAACTCTTTCATAGTTCATTCATTCCTGTCTCTAGATTCTAACATGGTTTCAGAGCAGTAGGTCCGTAGGACCGTTTTTTTTTTTTTTCGGGCCCACCTACTGCTACCCCACGAGTGTGACTGTGACTGTGCCTGTGACGTGCTGCGCTGCGCGCGCCGTCTGCCTGCTGCCTGCTGTCTGCTGACTGCGCGGTCTGCTGCTGCTTAGAGCGCGCAGACCTGATTCCTGCGCGCGGCCCAGTTTTTGCCCCGCGCGTCGCCCAAGCTGCCCGAGTCGCGCCTCGGCAGCCCGCGCGCGGCTCGCTGCTGCTCCGCGCGCCGCGTCCGCAGCCCGCGCTGCTTGCTGCAGCCCAGCGCGTCGCGTCCGCTGCCCGCGCGTCGCGCTGCAGCCCCGCGCGTCGCGTCCGCTGCCCGTGCGTCGCGCTGCAGCCCCGCGCGTCGCGTCCGCTGCCCGCGCGTCGCGCTGCAGCCCCGCGCGCCGCGGCTGCCGTCCTCGCCCAGCCCGCTGCGGCTTCACGCGCCGCGCCTGCAGCTCACGTAGCCCACTGCAGCCCCGCGCGCCGCGGCTGCTCCTGTTCGACGCAACGCCCGCCCCCCCCCCCTTGGACGCCGCCCCTGCCTGACTGCCGCCGTCGCTTCTGCAGCAGCTGCCGCGGAGCGCCCTGCCACGATCACGGCCCCGCCCTGCAGAAGCTGCCGCGGAGCCTCCTGCTGCTGTCGCGGCCCCACCCTGCAGCAGTCCTCGCGGCCCCGCCCTGCAGCAGTCCTCGCGGCCCCGCCCTGCAGCGGTCACGGCCCCGCCTTGCAGCAGCTGTCGCGGACCTGCTCTACCGCCGACGCGGCCCTGCTCTGCCGCAGCTGTCGCGGCCCCGCCGTCGCCGCCGTCGTGCGCCTACCCGGCCGCCGCCCGCCGAGCGCCGGCCCTGCTTTCCCGGCGAGCGCCTGCCCTTCCCGCCACTGGTGAGCACCTACCTTGTTCGCTCGCTGCCGCGTCATCTGCCTGCCTGTTTGCCTGCCTGCCTGCCTGCCTGCCTGCCTGCCTGCCTGCCTGCCTGCCTGTCGCACCTGCCCTGCCCGACTGTTACTGCTGCTAGGCTGCTGCTGCTGCTACTGCTGCTACTTCTGCTACTGCTGCTACTAGCGGTGGCCAGATGCAGCTCCAGCGACGTCCACGCGAGAATCTCCCGCCCCAGCAGCTTTGTGAGTGGTACGCTAGTTGGGGTTGTGGCGGTAGCCGTCGTAGCTGTCGCCCTAGAGCTGGTCAGTTGGGAGCATCTGGCAGTGGCCAGCTGCAGCTGCAGCGGCGTCCACGCGAGACACTTAGAGTAGAGGGTCTCGAAGTACCGTTCGCTGCCCATACGTCATTCGCACAGGTGATCGGGCTGGTCAGGCTTGCGGGACGCTTGGTCACACACGGTCCCGCTGCTTCGCCCGT